TCAGTAATCTTTTTTTCTTGTAAATGAGTGTCCAGCACCTCACCTTTTGTCGCCCGTTGGAAAAAGGCTCATTTAATCAGGAGAAATGTACCTGGTTCTAAGTTGAGCAAAGTCTGTGTAAGACCAGGCCAGCTTCTCAGAGGAAAAGCGCAGACAGTTAATGATGTTACAGTCTTAAAACTGAACAGGCCACTGCCCCACACAAGTAAGTTCAGACACTCAGCTCTTTTCTTTGTTCTTATCTCCTTGCTGTGGATGGAAATTACATATTGAGGTTCTTGTGGCCTCCCTAGCAGTATCTAATCACAAGACTCCTTTTTGCTGCCCTCAACGTCTGTCTGCATAATACTGTGCTTGTTGGGCTGGAAGGGAACTTCAGGGCGAGGCATTTGTCCTCTGAAAGCTTGCACGAAAATGGCTCCCACAGGTTTGGAGAGACCAGATCTGCTTTCAAATGTGCAGCCCCGGCGAGTTCCCAGCACTGGACCACACTGGCCACTTTCCCTCTGGTAGCGTGGCTCCCACCAAGCATGGGTCTGTAAAAAGTTAATTGCTTTCAAAGTAGCATTATTTTCCAGTTTCACTAAAGGTGAAAAAAAAACAAAAAACTCCTGCATTGCAGCAGGGCCAGGAAGGGACAGCAGTGCTGGCTCAGAGCAGCCCAATGGGGCTCCCGCACTGTGGCTTTCGAGCCAATAGACTTGAAGGAAAGGTTAAAGATTGACAATTGCGGTGGCCGGGCTGAGAATGGGCCTTCTGGAAATTTCTACCATCTTTGTTCCTTTTAGGAAAAGCAGATCCGCCCTGCAGAAGAGTCTCCTGCATTCCATTCCTAGGGCATTTCCCCCCCTCCCCGTCTTCCTTTTTCTCCTCAAGGTAGAATGGTCTCCCTGCCACGTTTTGTCATTTGCAGAGGGAGGAGCAGAGTGCTGGGCTGTTTGCGTTTTTCCTCTTGCCTCCTCAGTCCCCAAAGAGGATGCACAGCTGCAAGGAACAAACACAGACACACTGGGGCTTTTGATTCCCCTCCTTTTTTTTTTCCCTCTTCCTTCAAGACCCTCCAGGATGGATTCACTTTCTGCTTTGGGAAATTAAGTGGCATTCTCGTGGGGGAGGGGAAGTAACTGCTTTTATTAGCTCCAGAAAATGGTCAGTGTTCAGTCTGTAACTAGGAATTAATTATATATAATCACTCAGTAAACTTTCTACAGAGTTTTTTTCTAATTGCTGAGCATGAACATAGTTAGCCCGTAGGAGCCAAGTCCAGTTACTTTTTATAATTAACAGCTCGAGGATTTGAGTCAGAAAGAAAGAAACAATGGGGCCTCTTGGATTATAAATTAGGGATGAAAACAATAGCTTTTTTCCCTTTCTTTCTTGCAACCTCTTTTCTAAACAAAACATTCCCCCTTTTATTTCCCTGGGAGACTCCATCAGGTCTTAAATAGGAGAGGGGGGATGACACTTTTGAGAAAGCAGGGTGACAGTCACCTAGAAAGCCCCGAAGGCAAAGGTGGGTTTTTAAAAAAAGTCCAACCACTTCAGCCGGGTGATCTCTTTGTTTCTTTTGCCTTTTATTCCCCTTCTCTGTCCTGTGGTAGAGGCAACAGACATTTGTCGCCCTGCCCCTGAGCCCTGGGTCTTGCTTTGCCTCTGGTTGACCCTGAAAAGAAAGATACATTCAAAGGGGCCTTCCCTCTCCCACAGCAGAGGTTTGAAAAGGGAATATGTTTAATATGTTGCTCTTAAAATGAAAAACAAGTAAGGATTGACCTCTGGCTTCAGGTTGCTGAGACTGTGGTCGCCCTCCTCCCCTCCCCTCCCTCCTTGCAGACAAACAAGCAGGCGGCAGCAATGCCAGCTCCCACCGCTGCCAGGCTGCCCCCCCATCCCCTACCTATCGGCCGGCGTGGGGCCAGTTAGGCCGTCCTGGCCCTTGCACAGCCTTGGGCACTGTGCCCGCCTTTCTCCCCTGAAGCTGAAAAGCAGTCACCTTGAAACTGCCCACTCCCAGCACCAGAGGCGTTGGGAGGCCAGTTCTCAGACCTGTACGTTGCATGATCCACTCTGAGGCTGTGAGTTCGGCCTCTGAAAGCAGGTTTTGCAAAACCCATTGTTACTTCTCAGGGCTCCGTTGGGGGTGGGCAGGAATCTAATTTGTGAGTATCCTGTGCATTGGATAAGGGAATGTTTTCCTTGTGTTTTCTCCTCTGCAGACTCAGATTGTCTTTCCTTGGTGAGGGCTGGCTGTTGGGTGGCCGTGTTCAGGCTTACAAACAGCCTTTTTATTTTACCTTGGCCTCGGACTGAGGTGCAGCCCTTGAGCTTGGCTTTTCAGATGCCTGCTGCCTGTCCTTGAAGCACTTTCCTTTTGCCTGGCTCCTGTCTGGTATGGATGCGAGGCTGGTTTCTAATAGCCTGAGAAGGGGGAACAGGCTTCCCACCCCCTCCCCCCAGCCTGCTCCCTGGGAACATATTTGTGTTTGCACAGACACCTGTCTGTCTGCAGTTTGTGCCACGGGGCTGCACGGTTCCTAACCTTCTACCCACCTTCTTCGAGGGCAAGGGGGCCTCATCACAGAGCCTCATGTGGAAGGGCTCAGCATCTGAAAGGGAAGGCTTTTTCTTAGGAACCTGTGACTTCACAAACTCTCCCTGTCACTGCAGATTTTTTTTAAGCTTCTAAACGTGGGGTTGTTGGTGCCCTTTGGTTGAGCTTTTCCTAGTTCTGATATTTAGGAAGGTGGCTTTGAAACTAGCAGGGCTGCTCAGACAGGAGCTACAGCTATTGAAAAACTGCTACCATTTTAGCTTCAATACAGGAATGAGGCAGTGTTGCCAGACGCCATTTTAAGAATCCTGCATAAATAGCTTAGCTACCGATGACTCTGCCTGTTTTAGGTGAGTGCTTATATAAAGCTGATCTGCTAACCATTCCCTCCCCCCCATTTCTTAAAAAATTAATTGCAGATTTAGGGAAGCATGGTTTTTTATTTTGATGTTCACTCTTTTATAATCTAGAAGAGGAAGATGTTAATGCCTGGGGGATTAAATCTTTCTTACAGCCTGGACCATGTTGGTACTTTGAATGAAAGTAAAACCAGGAAAAGTCCTTCCGAATGATGCATGATTCTTGAATTGCTGTGTGATGATCTTCCTCTGTAGAACCAGAGTCTTGTGCATGTCGGTTATATATTCTAGATGGGTTAGGTGTTCTTCTTTGGAAAGTCAAATAGTAGGGACACTTGGGGAAAAGAAATATCTGGGTATTGTGTATCCAGGCATTTTTCTGTCAAAACTAGATGCTTTCTCTCTTTTTTTTCCCCTCTCTCTTTCTTTTGGAAGTGTTGAGAGGGTGAGATTCCTGGGAATTACGGACCAGCCCTGAGTCCTCAGAATTAATAACCAGAAGGCTTAAAGCATCCTAGAGGTGCAGCAGTTCATCTGCAACTTTTAATTGCTCTTTTTTTCAGTGCATGCAGGTTAAGAAGCATAGGCTTTCTTGCTGAGGCTTTGGTTGAGAGATCTTTTATTCTTTTTTGGGCCGGGACTGGGTGGAATGGTCTTGGTTGTGTTTGCAGGTGCTGTTATTTCTTTGAATTGCCTGAAATGTATCAGTTTGTGAAATCCACAGGCAAGTGACTTGGGTAAATGTGAGTGTAAGAGGTGGTGGTGGTGGAGGGGGGGTGGTGGGGGGGTGGGGGGGTGATGGTGGTGGTGGTGGTGGTGATGATGGTGGTGGTGGTGATGATGATGATGATGGAGATGGAGGATACAATGTATATTACTAGTTGAGGTTTATTTTCCTTTGGGGGTGAGAGACTTGTCTGGTTTTTAGCTAATTTTACCCTTTCTTTTAGTGGGCCCCAGTCTCCTCAACAGATCTTTAAAGAAAAAAAAGTAATGTCAGTTTGAAACAAGGGCTTGCTGTCCCATTGTTTTTGGTTTAAATCATCAGGGTTGCTGGAAGCTAGCAGATATGGAAGGGAAGAAGCTGTACATTTTCTAAGACTTTAATGTGTTAATGACAGAAGTTCAAAGTAATTTCTCCAGATGTGGCTGCCTTTTCTTTTTAATAATTGTTATTTGACTGCTTCCCCCCCCAAATGACTGAACAGTTCTCAACCTAATTTGACCAAGATCTGTGAGGCATTCAGACAGGTACAAATCTTTTCTCACTACCACTTTTGATGTAATATTCATGTTTATTATTATTTTTCCCCTACTAACATACTAGTTCTCAACACTGAACCAAAAAAGAAGAAAACAAAAACCGAGATCAGTGGTATAGAAAAAGGAAGTCCCTTTAGATGTGGCTGTTCAAAATGACTAATTTTGCATTCTGGTCTTTGCTTTTGTAAATGTTTTTTTTTTCCTAATGCACAGACACTGCAGTTTCCTTTAGTCAGATACAAGTTGTGTGTGTGTGTGTGTGTGTGTGCGTGTGCTTGCATATACGTGTGGGTGCACGGGTTCCTTTTGAATGGGAGGCTTGCTGATCTGTGAAAAAGATGGTTTTCTTAAATTGTTCCGAAATCCTGGGCTGAAGCTGGTGGTGCTGTTGCTCAAGTTAGGTGATTATGGTACCCACTTGTAATACTTGGAAAGATAAAGCAGCTTAACTTTTTTTCCCTCCTCTCTCCTCTGCTCCAGAATTGATTATCTTAAACTCAGCAGCAAACAGCCACCGCATAACTAGTTTGCATTTTCTTCGCCTTTCAGCAGCATGCCTGCCTGCCTGCCTGCCTGCCTGAAGTATTCAGCCCCTCTAGGCTGTTACAAGCAAAATAATTGTTCTCCTGAATGCAGCCCTCCTCCGTGGTCAATATACCTCTGAATGTTTTCATCACTGCAGAAATCCTTCAAGTGGGTTTTTGGGGCTGGGGGGTGTTTAATTGTTTCCTTGACCACTGTATATTTCTGTCCATTTCGGCTGGATCCCACATTAGTGTTTTCTCTATATCACTCAAAATACGGGATTCGTTTCGAGAAGTTTAGGATTTCACGTAGTTTATGCTAGAGAGGGAAACAGAATTCTCCTTGCTAGAAAGATCAAGGTTGCTGTTGGTCTTTTGAAGTGAACCATCTCCCCATCTCTGAGCGCTGCTTGGGGCTTTTTGTTAAAAGGCTTTGCTAGTCATCCCAAGCAAGAGCCATCAGCAGTATCCAGTTGGACAGCCTGGGCATGTTTCAGGCAACGTGTGTTTCTGAGTCGAGACTATTTTCTTCTTAAGTTGGAATAGAAAGTGTTAGGGCTAAAACCTTCGATAAATCACCGTGGTATTATTGCATATAAGTGATGTGTTTAAATTTAGCAGGCTGCTTTCTCCTGATGAAAACCATTTGTGACAACATATCAGTTGTTTCTTTGGTGACTTGTATCACAGGCTGTCTCTACAGTGACTGTGTAAATGCATTTGCTAACGGGGCTCAGTGTCCGACTGCTAAGTGTGCTGATATTCTGATTTAAACCCACCTTTCTTCTCTCTGCTGGGGACGAGTTAGGTCCAAGACCCCCTGCACCTGCATTCTGAGCTGTCATTTCCTTTCTGTTTCTCTTCCATCCCAAATCCTCTCCTCCCCACCATGACAGAGAGCTCTTGAACAGATCGCTGTCTCACACTGGGCCTCCAGGCCTGGGACTGCCTTTTTAAACTTGTCTTTCGCCACGTCCCAGACCCAGACCACGGAACACAGACAGGACATTCTGTGTTCCCTAGCCTCCTTCCTGTTCTGGCTCTGAGTCTTCCAAATGGAAAATTCCAGCCATGCCCATGGGTGATGCACCCATCTTCCTGTGAAGCCACAGCCTGGTGGAATTGCGTCTAGAGTCATGGCTCCGATTAGGATCCCTTCAGTGCCAGCCTGAGTATTTAGAAAGTTCTTGCACCTCAAACCACTGGCACCTATAAAAAGCAGAAATGTATTTCTTCCTTTGGTTTGGCTTGTGAGTTCCCCATGAGGTGGGGAGCGGAAGATCTGAAATGGCCTGCTGTTCAGCCCATGTTCCAGCAGAGAGGGAGAGAAGGTTCTGGATGACAGACCTTCCCCGCAAAGGGGCCTGCTTCATCTGCTTTTCTCCCTAACCCTCAACTCTCAGCTTGTGTCTTTTAAGTAATCCTTCCTCATTCCACTTTTGTGGCAGGGACTAATTAGCCACAACTTAGAATTAAGCCATGCCTGTAGAGGAGATATTCGGAGGTGGAGGTGTGGGGACCCCAAGCCTGGGAAAATGCTCATTGTTGGAATGTTCTGAGACCAGGTCTAGCCTGGTTATATTTTTCTGCTTTGTGATTTAACTTGTGTCTTTTTTTCATATTCCTGCCTCATCGGGAAATTATAAGATTCAGAGGGAAGTCTGAGACATACTCTTTGCCCTGAAGAATCCAGAGATCAGAACTCTGGGTACCCTGCAAAACACCTCCAACCGGCCTGCCTTTGAACCCGGTGTTAACAATGAGAAACTGTTTATTTGAAGGCTGGGTTCTCATTGGCCTACAGGGATAGATTGTAATTGTGTATCTAAAAAAAAAAAAAAAAAAAAAAGCTTTGCATCCCCCAATAGCATGACAACTGGAATAGCAATTTGACTTTAAAAAAAAAAAAGAACAGTGTTTTAAAAGACTCCTTCAGGCGTGCTGACACTTTGTTGAAACCAGGTGTGGGTCTTTCCCCTGCCCTGGATAAGGATGGGGGAATGTCTTAAAAGGTGGGTTTGTTGCCAGAACTTTTCAGTAGCTGCCCCCAGGAGGCAAGTTCTCAGCCCACCTAAACATGAACATAATTTGCTCTGTTTCAGCTTGGCTGAAGAGGAAATAAAAACAGAACAGGAGGTGGTAGAGGGCATGGACATCTCTACTCGCTCCAAAGGTGAGTACAAACGTCGTCTTCTCTGTTCTGGAGCGAAGGAGGAAATTGGAATTCCTTGTTGTTGTCCTTGGGCAGTGAAGTGTGGCTTTCTGAACCGGCATTGGGACTTTCGTCAGATTTTGAGATGCGAGACCTTCGATGGAGGAGCCTAATTTATGGAGGAATGGCTTCCTCCTGATTTCCTCTCCCAGGCATGTCTGTGTGGGTGGACCGACTTGCCGGGAATCGTCCTGACTGTAAATTTTACCCGTGTGTCATGATGGAGGGCGGCTGGCTACCTCTCTGTGGGGTGACTTTCAGGAGTTAGAATTTAAAGCATGTTCTGGAAGCCACCAGCGTCTTCAGCTGCTGCTCGGATTCTGATTTTAACCACAGGCCTCTTTGGGATGGAGAAGTGGGACGAGGTGGGCCCACTTCATTGGGAAATGGTGGTCTTGGGTTAGAGATAAAAGAAAATGAGGGCTTTCTGGAAGGCTGGGACCAGTATTTGTGTTTAGTTCAAAATGTGGCAGATGAGGGCAGGCATGGTTTCTTTTTACGTTCAGAAGCCTGTGTAGATGCCTCACTATCTTCTACTTGAGGGTCCTGGTACTATCCATGTGGTGTGGGTGAGAGGTTTTATGAGGCCTCCCCAAAGGAAGCAGTGATTGACTTTTGCCATCGGGTGCTTTTAAAAATGAGCTCCCGGAGTATTTTCCTTATCTTCGGTTGATGAAAAGGCTCATCTCCAAACGTAGTGGTTGTATCAAGGTGTTTTTATTCCTTTGACGAGTCACTGAGTGCCTGCTCCAAGCACCCCGCCCCGTGCTGGGGCTTATGGAGAAGGAGGAAGAGGCTGGAGAGGGGTTTTCTGCAGACCTCACGGGAAGGAGATTGCCGTCTAGTTAGAGAATGTCACAAAAAGTCACTCCCTTGAGGCATCCAAAACAAAATGCGTTTGGAGGATTTTGGCAAGACAGCATGGCATTTTGGGCAAACTGGGGGTCAGGTAGTTGGGGCTGGCATCTTGGCAGTGGCGCTGGCTGCTAATCTCTGGAAGGGTTGGGGGGGCACTTCAGGTGAGAAGGCCAGGTGGCTGTGGGTGGTCTGTGCCAGGGGGCAGTGGGCAGAGGCTTGGACTGGGCTGAGGCCAAGGACCGCTGCCTCTCATCATGGTCCTGGAAGAGGTCAACGGGGACTCAGAGCAAGGAGGGTGCCTTGTCACAGGGTTTTGAGACCATCCATTATGGGGATGAGTGAGCATGTGCCATGTGGCCTCTTCCCAGCTCCCTTGCTGTGGTCACGTTCACAGAGTGGAGAGAAAACCCTGAGAGCAGGACTGGGAGGGGCGGGGCTCATCCCTGTTCTGCCGCTTGCTTCCCTGAGGAGACTTAGACATGATGTCTCTGTTCCTCTGTTTTCATATCTGTGAAATGGAGGGGTTGGATTAGATTGTACCTACGGTTTCTGCTTTCCTTGGGTTTTTCTCACACCAGGAACTTTCTCTTGTTGAACTCCTCTGGTTCCCTTATGAGACAGGGATGGGGGGTGGGGCATGTGCTTCCCACTCTGCAGATGAGGAAACTGAGGCTGCAGATGGTCATGTCTTTTTTTTTTTTTTTTTGAGTTAGAATCTCACTCTGTTGCCCAGGCTGGAGTGCAGTGGCATGCCCATTGCCACCTCAGCCTTGACCTGCTGGATTCAGGCGATCCTTCCACCTCAGCCTTCCAAGTAGCTGAACCAGAGGCGTGCGCCACCACACTCAGCTAATTTTTTTTTTTTTTTGAGTTGGAGTCTCACTCTGTCGCCCAGACTGGAGTGCAGTGGCCGCTCCTGGCCACCACAGCCTCGACCTGCTGGGCTCCGGCTATCCTTCCGCCTCAGCCTTCCGAGTAGCCGGAATTACAGGTATGCGCTACCATGCCTGGCTGATTGTTTGATTTATTGTAGAGATGAGGTCTCGCTGCCCAGGCGGGTCTCGAACCTGTGGGCTCAGGCAATCCACTCACCTCAGCCTCCCAATGGCGCGGGATTACAGGCTGAGCCACCGAGCCCAGCTTCAGCTAATTTTTGATTTATTGTGGAGACGAGGTCTCACCAAGTTGTCCAGGCTGGTTTTGAACCTGTGGGCTCAGGCAATCCTCTCGCCTCCGCCTCCCACAGTGCTGGGATTACAGGCGGAGCCACTGCACTCGGCAGTGGCCATGTCTTATGGGTAGGGAGTGGCAGAGCAGGATGGAACTGAGACTCTGCTTCCAAGGATCCGCTTCCTTTCTGGATATGCCTGGACAGAGCCCCGTGCCTGAGACTTACAAGAGGATCAGAGTCTGGGGTCGTCAGGACTGGATGCCTGCCCTGCACAGGCCCCCATCTGCATGTGGGGACCCTTTTCTCCTGTAACCAGGAACACATACCTTCTCCTCTTCCATGTCCTCTGGGTGCTCCTAGCCCCACACCAGGTGACTCTGGGCTTTCTGAAACACGACCACTCTGGGGTAACCACTGTCCCTTTCATCCATCCTCCTCCTGTCCTCCTCACAACAGCCAGGAAGATGTTAAAAAACATGGAGCTGGGCTGGGGATGGTGGCTCATGCCTGTAATCCAGCACTCTGGGAGGCCGAGGTGAGAAAATGACTTGAGCCCAGGAGTTTGAGATCCAGCAACACAGTGAGACCTTGTCTCCATAAAAGAATTAAAAAATTATCCGGATGTGGTGGCGTGCACCTGTAGTCTCAGCTACTTGGCAGGCTGAGGTGGGAGGATGGCCTGAACCTTGGAGGTCAAGGTTGCAGTGGGCTGTGACCATGCCACTGTGTTCCAGCCTGACTCAAAAGTGGAGCTGATTCTGTCCCAGTGACCTTTCAGCACCTTCAGCTCAGTCAGAAGTCATGTGACCTGCCTGCCTGGCCAGCCCCGTCCGCCTCCACTTACCCCCCTGCCCCTTGGGATGTCCTCTTCACTTTGTGCTGTTTCTCCCTGACCCCCCCAGCCACACGGCCTCCTTTCCCTGCCTGGCCACCTTGGAGTCCCTGTGTGTGGTCTGCCGGGAACTTGCAGGTCTCACTGCCTGTTTCTTTTCCTCATTGCTCAGGCCACCTCAGGTGTTCTCTTCTCAGAGAGGACTAGGTGGCCAACTAGTCTGAAGGAGTCATTTCATCATTTTCTTTTTTTGAGTTGGAGTCTCATTCTGTCACCCAGACTGGAGTGCAGTGGCCGCTCCCGGCCACCGCAGCCTCGACCTGCTGGGCTCCGGCGATCCTTCCGCCTCAGCCTTCCGAGGAGCCGGGGTTACAGGCGCGCGCTACCATGCCCGGCTCATTTTTGATTTATTGTAGACATGAGGTCTCGTCAAGTTGCCCAGGCGGGTCTCGAACCCGCGGGCTCAGGCACTTCACTCACCTCGGCCTCCCAAAGTGCTGGGATTACAGGCTGAGCCACTGAGCCCGGCCCATCATTTTCTATTGTGTGTGTTTTTTGTTTTTTTTTTTTTTGAGTTGGAGTCTTACTCTGTTGCCTAGGCTGGAGTGCAGTGTCGACTTGCTGGACTCCGGTGGTCCTTCCGCCTCATCCTCCAAGTACCTGGAGCTATAGGTGTGTGCTACCATGCCTGGGTAGTTTTTTGATTTGTTGTTGAGATGAGGTCTTGCCAAATTGCTGGGGCTGGTCTCGAACCCGCAGGCTCAGGCAGTCCACTCGCCTTGGCCACCCAAAGTGGTGGGATTACAGGCTGAGCCACTGAGTCTGGCTTATTATGTGTTTTTAAATGAACTTTTTAATTTTAGAGTAGTTAATTTTTTTGTTTACATATTCTTTTTGAGTTGGAGTCTTACTCTGTCACCCAGGCTGGGGTGCAGTGGCACACTCACGGCCACCTTAGCATCGACCCACTGGGCTCAGGTGATCCTTCCACCTCAATCTTCCAAGTAGCTGAAACTACTGGCACATGCTACCACGCCCATCTAATTTTTTATTTTATTGTACAGATGAGGTCTCGCCAAGTTCTCGAACTGTGGGCTCAAGCAATCCTCTCACCTTGGCCTCCCAAAGTGCTGAGATAACCCTTGAGCCACTGTGCCTGGCCTGTTTACATTTTTATAGTACAGGGGTCTGACCTGTTTACATTTTTATAATACAGGGGTCTTGCTGTGTTGCCCAGTCTGCTCTTGAATGCCCGGCCTCAGGCGATCCTCCCACCTCAGCATCCCGCAGTGCTGGGATTACCAGCACCTGGAGAGCTACTACACCCGGCCTAATCTTAGAGTAGTTTTACAATCCAGAAAGGTTTGACTGGGAGTTCCTATGGTAGCCCCTGGCTGCACACACATGGTTCCCCCATTGTTTTTTTGTTTTGCTTTGTTTTTTTTGTTTTTTTTTTTGAATTGGAGTCTCACTCTGTCACCCAGACTGGAGTGCAATGGCCGCTCCCAGCCACCACAGCCTCGACCTGCTGGGCTCGGGTGATCCTTCCACCTCAGCCTTCCAAGTAGCTGGAATTACAGGCATGCGCTACCACACCCGGCTGATTTTTTGATTTATTGTAGAGATGAGGTCTTGCTGCCCAGGCGGGTCTCGAACCCGCAGGCTCAGGCAATCCATTCACCTCAGCCTCCCAAAGGCGTGGGATTACAGGCTGAGCCACCGAGCCTGGCTTGCTTTGTTTTTTGAGTCGGAGTCTCACTGTGTCGCCCAGGCTGGAGTGCAGTGGCACGCTCATGGCCACCACAGCCTAGACCTGCTGGGCTCCGGCTGTCCTTCCGCCTCAGCCTTCCAAATAGTTGGAACTACAGGCACATGCCACCACGCCCGGCTAATTTTGTTTTGCAGAGATCAGGTCTTGCCAAGTTGTCCAGGCTGATCTCGAATCTCTGAGCTCAGGCAGTCCTCCTGCCTCTGTGTCCCAAAGTGCCGGGATTACAGGCATGAGCCACTGTGCCTGGCTCCTTATTTTTTGATGAGCTTGACAGTTCGGAGGGGTACTCGTCAGGCACTCGGCAGAACTCCTGGGCTCAAGCAGTTCTT